ACGTGAACTCTGCACGATTGGTCTTCAAGTGGAATACTCAGTGGAAGACTCGTAGAAAGCGAACAGCGTGCGAAGAAGCTATTTCATACCTAACACGATTAAAATCGACGTGTCGTGGTTATTCTGCAGTGTTTATTATGATGGTACCTGGTTAATAAAGTAGCAGTAAACTTGAGCTTTTCAGGTTCTGAAGAAGGCGGAAATCCGCCCAAGCGCCTGTTACAGAAGCAACAATTTTACATCGTATTCAGCTTTTTTTTATCGATCCCACCATTTTTCGCAGTCGACTCGTTTTCCTCGCAAAGGATTTCTTCTTCTTTATGAAATTCGTAAAATACTAGTCGAGTCTACTTTCCTTGGCAATCTTAGAGATAGCTGAGCGAAGGCGTTCCCATGATGATTAGGGAGGGTTGTGGGAAGGGTTTGAACCAGTTCATCGCTTTCGTATGGACTGCATCACTAAACACTATGCTACCCAACTACCAGGCCCGCCCTCGTTCGGGTTTTAGAAAGTCCAAAAGTTAATAGTAAAAGTATTCGAAAAGTTTTATTTAAAGCTATGGGACTGCAAATATTCACTTTTTGCCATGAAAATTATAGAAGGCAGAAAACAAAACGTTAAACATTGTGATTTCAACTACAACCATAGCTTAAGTGGGTTCTATGCCGATTTGCGCTTCCCAGAACAACCCCGCTGACGGGTGATTGCTGTGGCAAAAAGATCGATAGAAATAGCTGAGAGACAGGCGAAACAAAGGACCCAGCATGGTGTGGTGGTGAACGCGTTACTCCCCGGAAGGGACAATAACGCGTTCGTTCCCCACCATAGACACCTGCGGTTTTGCAAATATCTCAGCACCGTTGTGGTTGTAATTCACTTTTTTGTTCACACGATTCGTCTTCAACAAGGGGTTCGATTAAGGATTTTGTTGCTCGTTATAAATGCCCTTGAATACTAGTCGAGTTCAATCTCTCAGAAACCCTAGGATAGCCGTATTGTGGCATTTCCATTTTTCCATCACAATCATCTTGATCTTTCTTGCATAAGGCAGAGAGCGAGCCGATTCCAAAAAACCCGCACCTTTTCCCTACCCCGAAACGTTGCATAGCACGGATAACCCGATGAGGAGATGAACAGCTATACTAATGCGTGTATTGAACGATGTCTTTAACAACTACTCCTTTCACACGTAGTGTTATGCTATAACATTTAAGTAAGACTTGTACCTCGGTATTAAAATACCTGTGGATTCCTTGGATCGCTCATGTAAAAATGACCAGGTGCTGGTGTGGGCCATCGTGGATCGAATGGTGTCGGACTTGGTATCTGAGTCTAAATTGTTAGTTTTTGGCTAAGCCAAAAAAATTGACAACTGAGCATTGAAAATCGTTTTTTGACCTTTCACTTAGAAGATCCGACTTTTTTACCTTTGTATTTGCGCTCGCCGAGTTCTCAACAAAACTCGCCTCACTGTTTGCTCTCAATACGAACAAACAGTTGCACTGCTTCGAAATAAAGAAAGTAACGTTGTGAGTAATCGATTCAAAAAAGTGTGGGCCCTTTAATAATATTTTCATTCAGCTTTTTTAATAGCAACTAAAAATGTTGAATATATGATAAAGTTACAGTAAACCAAGCCATTGTGAATCAATGTACTACAGACTAAAAAATTGCTAAAGTACTTAATAAAGGCTGGGTCTATAGAATATTTATGAGTCCGGACAACACTGCTGATCATCATGTCCCATATTCTCTCATTCTTCTGTAGAAAAATTCTGAGACAAAATTTTTGGATGTGAGCCAAACTATTTGTCCATGGATTTTTCTTCCGGCAACTTTACTAGCTGTTTTTAATGGTCTGTACGATGTTTTTTTTTGACGCCGTTTCAATCAGTCATCCATTCCTTGTATTCCACGAGTCAAGCGTTTCACAACGAAGCTGGTTTTTTGAAAACAGATAATAATTTCTTTGTCAATAGAACAGTGGAAGGGTCGGGAACATCGCAGACTCATACAAGAGACTTTACTCTATGAGTATAATCTTTATTAAAGGCCTTTCCAGCTTCATGTTCCTTTACGATGGAATTTGTCAAAATTTTGTGAACAAAATCTCAGGGTTTAAAATACTATACTCTAGATGTATTCTTTCTTTGATGAGCTTACACGAGGTTGATAATGATATTTATTTTCGGCTAACGTTTCGATGTCTTCGTCTTTCTCAGAGCCGATGATCCGAGTCGATGGTCCATGCTTGTTATTCGTCTCGACGTGGCACCTTCGCCTTCGTGTCGAGTCAGATCTTCCTCAGTGAGCCATCTCCTCGAATGAGGCATCCTCACTCACTGATGCCCTTTTATACACGATGGTGAAAAAAAAAGCGAAAAGGCGAAATATTTTTATTTTTTTTTATTTCTTCATTTTTTTTTATTTTTTTATTTTTTTATATTTTAATATTTATACAGCGAAAAAAAACTGTACTCTAGCTCGACGTAGCAGAAACTAACGACACATTTGGGAACTTCGTTGATTCCTATTGAGCCAAATCTCTCTTGTGCAAGCTTTTTCACCTTGTAAATACAAGCACTGATAAAGAAAAGTAAAAACCATCTATCGTAAGCCCCAAAAAATCACGTTTCATCGTGAGACAGTGAGATAACTTGTGTTTTGTAGTCAAATAGTCATAGATTCCAATGGGTTACATTTCAATTAATGAAATTCGCTACGATCTGAGATATATTGATGTAAAGTTGAAGACAGAAGAGGTTTAAAGTTGAAAGTGAAAGAGAACATGCCTGTAAGAAAGGAGTAGTTTGAATCGACGGCAATAAATCATCTTCATAGTCTTCGTCGGGGCCATAGACATGAGGTGTTACTATAAATAATTGCATTAATCTATAACTAAGTGCCATATTTTAGCTCCAACCTACTGTTCAACAATGTGCATCACATACTTCAGTTGTGCTGACAGTTAAATGCCTTGAGTGGACCCTGGTTAATTAATGTTTGTCCTTATCGTGTGGAAGAGTATTCCTGGGAGTTCAGCTGGTCTTCTAGGGCCTTCATGAAAATGTTTAACCGTACAATAGGTGTGCGCATAATGTTGAGCCTAGTTGCCAACGTCGTTTGCCATCGGTTGTTATTAAAACACCTCACGCCTTCTACACATCTGAATCTCAGCATCTCGGAGCATGCGGCACCGTCTGATCGTCAACAGCCAAAGCAAAAGTAACTTCTCTGGTTTCTTTGCCTAGGTTCCAAGTTTTTATGTATAAATCAAGGCCTTGAGAACCGTCGCATATCCCTTTTTACCACACTCCTGATGCTCCTATAATCTGCACTCATTCTCAAAACCTTTTTGCCGTAATGTTACCCAACAACAAGCTCCTGTTGGCTATCCAGTGCCTGGAAGCAGACAGCGGGCTTTTTTTAATTTTATTTGACCAATCTGCACGTCTACTGTGCGGATCCCAGTACTTCTCACGTTTGATTCGCCTCCTCGCATCCACTATCCACGAACATCTTCCAAGTTTTTCGTGTAGCTTCAGCTGCTGCTTGAGGATTTTCACTTCATCTTGAATGTCGTAGAATGCTGGTCAAGCAATTCTCTTTGGAGTATAACTTCAATGATGCTGAGATATCTGCAAAACTCCGGACCGCTGGTGTCTGCAGTGAGGAACGAACGCGCTATTGTCCTTTCCGTGGAATAACACGTTCACCACCACACCATGCGGGTCCTTTGTTTCGTCTTTCTCTCAGCTAGTTCTATCGATCTCTACCGTCAGCAATCAACCATCAGCGGGATAGAACTAGCTGAGAGACAGGCAAAACGGAGGACCTGCATGGTGTAGTGGTTCACACGTTACTCCACGGAAAGGACAATAGCACGTTCGTTCCCCACCGCAGACACCGGCGGTGCGGAGTTTTGCAAATATCCCAACATCTTAACTCTTTTATTTACTGCCTTTTTCTTCTTAATGGCAGGGTATGTTGTGAAATATAACCGGATGGTGTAGTGGTGAAGTGCGCTGCTCCCCGGTAAGGACAACAGCGCGTGTTCGTTCCCCACTGCATACACCTGTGGTCCGGAGTTTTGTAAATACCCCAGCATTTCATACGAGTTATATCCCAACATCATTGAAGTTATATTTTGCAATATAACATGCCATTAAAAAAGAATAGGCAGTAAGTAATAAGTTAAGATTGTCTCTTTGGAGTCCTGAGATAGCCGAGCTGGAGCGTTCCCAGTTGGATTGTAGACTGATTTTTTCGCATACAAGTCCTGTTCCATCTTCCAGACCCCGAGGGATGAGAGACTTGGTTGGACTAGAGCGGAATCGAACTAGCTTCATCCTCGCGACAAGCGACATCACTATCATTGTGCTATCCGCCCTTGACACCACATTTACCGCAAATATTTAAAATACCAGTGCTAAACGTACTCGGTTGAGATGACACACCAGTTGCTGCACGCCGTGATGGTAATGGATTTTCTTCGCTGTGATATGTAAGATGGCCGAAGGAAGTGCTTCTTGAAGTTTGAAAACTCTAAAAGTAATCATGTGATAGGGAGGCAGCCAAATTTTCTGCCCCGACTTACTCATTTTCTGTCATGCAATTTCAATCTCTCAAATTTCAATTTTTATCCGACTGATTTCTATCACTGCCTAAATACTGATTCTATAAAGACAAATGATCCCAAGTCCTTAGGTGGGCGAGAAATAGTTAACGAATTTTCCCTTCTTAGGAATACCGTGCTTTACGGGTTCCGTTTCCTAAAAATTCCTTCCCATAAAGCAATTGTCACAGATGAGACCATTGGGTTTTTCTGGATCGTTGGAAATGTCAGACTGATAGTGTTTAAAATAAAGATTGATCATTCCAAAGAGAAATTGTGAATTTGTTAAGCCTCGCTAACTCTTACTAGCCACACTGTAGTGGCGAAACTTTTTGAAAAATTGCATTCCTGATGATATTTAAAAAATATTTTTAAAAAAAAACCTTAAATATTTACACTCTTATGCCGTCCGCCGTAAAGTGCATTCGACGACTGACGGAAATTTGGTTGTTGCGAGTTCAAGTTCATTTCTTGTTCGCGAAGTGGGATTGCAGTTGTCGTTTGGTAATAGCGTGCATTACCGTACTCCTGGCTTGGTGTATTCTGCTTCTGTACTTGTACATTGCGCCTTGTGTTGTCCACTTGCTGGTGATTATCCTCGTTGTTTTGTCGTCTATTAAAGGGTCCATTCGAACGAACATTCTGACCATTCAAATAGTGACCATTACCGGCTTGTTGTTGCTGTTGAACAACGGTCGTCTTCAAGAAAGCATCAACACTCTGGAAGTGAATGAAACATTGAAACTACTGGCCAACTCTTCCATCTTTTACCACTCGACATAATAAGGCGGGAAATTCAGTTAGCAGTTATTTCGCTTAACACTTATGGGCGGACGTGAGTTGATTTCCACTCACACGGGCGAAAACAACGGCCGCTTTCAATCAACATAGCTCAGCTCAAAGTGGGCTCTATTGATTACGATAGAAAGCATTTGAACCAACGAATATTTGCCAATAAAAAAAGCTTTTTTAAAGATGTAGTTCTAATTTTCTGGTGTTCATCAAACGCGATTTGCGCACTTCTTCCGTCGATATCCGTATTTCGAAAATGAATTCGATTCACTGAGCAGTATTTCGTCCATTGAAGTACGGTGATGTGCTCAAATGCATTGTTACTAGTTGCTCTTTAACTGTTCCTAATGCTTGCTACTTTTGCGATCTTGTTTGAACTTCTAAAAGTTTAAGTAAGTTTTCATTTATTAGAAATTTTGACTTTAAACAGGTTTAAAGATCAAATGGTGGCCTTAAAGAACTATACTTGTTTTAGATACACATAAAACTATTCTCAAGACGATAACATTTTTTGCTAAGAAAATACTCCGCCATCGAAAAACTATCAGCAATTGACGAAAACGCAACCTCCATTTCGATGTATTAATAAATCTACTAGTTAATACGTTCATATTCGTGATGTATACTTACTTGGATACATGAGTACTTGAATGACCCGTCCTCACTGGTTGTGCAGGCACCAGCATATTTTCCATTGTTTCGAAGTTTTGATGGCTTAGCCATTGTGGTTCCCTGGAATCCCGAGGTCAGCCTTGCCACCCGTGGTAAGCCTAGCCAAAGCCTGCCCGAGACCGTCACTACCACAGGCAGTTGCCGCCATTGTGGATCAGAGGGCGATTTGCTACCAGCTGAGTAGTTTGATACTAGGACGGTGGGGATCTTGGTACCGGTCTACTCTTAGCCGGGCTTACTGGTGGAAACGCCAGACTCCTTCTCAGCTCGAGAGGCCCTACCGCAGGGGATGAACCCCGTTAAACATCCTAGCCCGACACTCAGGGACACCTCCCAGTCACAATTAGCCGCTAACCTTGGGAGAATGAATATACTGCTAAGAAAAAGTAGTAAAGTACTCAAATTCTCACGAAGAAATCTCGAATTTGGGAAGTCATTTTTTAGTAGTAATAGTAATCGAAGCAATTCGGAGTGCAATAGCGACCCGAGTAGTTTTTAGGTGAGCAGAAAATTTTGAGGAATAAATTTCATATTCGGACGTCGAAATGATACGTATTGATCGGTGGCATTTGGCCTATGCGACAAAGCAAAAACGTGGCGCGGCTGTTGTGCAGTCGCCATCACGTTAATTTTCAGCGTCACATGTTCGGAGACTAAATTTACAGAGCATTTGGCTCCAAAATGTTTATTGGGTAGCAGAGGTTTGAGTCAAAGAATAAAGGATAAAGCATTCGGCGTTGATCGATTTTTTAGAGATACAACATGTATTCGACCCCATTCATAGAATGGTAAGGGTGATTGAATGCATATATGGCTTTTACAATGACTTGAGGTTGCTTACCGTTATATCAAGTCAACTTTAACTTTTATTTACCACCTATTCTGTTATTCGAGAATGGTATTGTGCGAAATACGTGGATGCAGAGACATGAGCAGAACCAGGAACCTCAGCTGGGCTTCAAACCCCTGATTAACTTTTCCGGCGACTTACGTGCTATCCGCTGCACCAACCGAGGCCCTTGTTTTGCCTTACCCTCAGCCAGTTTTTTTGGCTATTGGGTTTTGCCTTTGTGATTATATCACGTTAATGGTTCTATCCTCTTGTTCATCCTAGGTTAGTTAGCCCAACAAGCAGCGTTTAAGCAACGACCATATTTTTATTGCGGGACATCTCTAAGCACTACTTTTTACATCTGTTTGATCAATGACACGAATTTTGCCTCACAATAATTCGCTTGGCTTTTCTTACGTTAGCGGTTTTGCGTAATCTGTCATCGTCGTGAGCCGCATTGTTACACGGACCACATGGTGAATGTCCACGAGCTCTATCAATCGCATCCAAAGTATCACGATTTGCTGTCATATCGCTACGGGGATGCGACAGAATTTGAGTGACGCGACCACACCTGGAAGCATTAGATACGGATACAGCTTCTTTAGTGTCATATAAAGAATATTTTACATAATTTCAACCTATTATTTTTTGCCTACTCTTTTTTATGGCAGGATATGTTGCGAAATATAACTTCAATGATGCTGAGATATTTGAAAACTCCGGACCGCCCCCAGATCATTCTCGCTGACCGGTGATTGCTGATGGCACTGATCGATAGGACTAGCTGAGAGACGGGCAGAATGAAGGACCCATATGCTGTGGTGGTGAAGTGCGCTGACCCCGGTAAGGACAACAGCGCGCGTTCGTTCCCCACCTTAGACACCTGTGACCCGGAGTTTTGCAGATATCTCAACATCATTGAAGTTTTATCTATTTTATGGTTATTACCGTTTTTAAACAATATTATATAGGAATTCGTGGTTGTATCTCCTATGAGGTCGTGTGACGTATCCCTATAAGAAACTATTAGATTGTCACTGGAGTTCGTCGCGCTCTATCTTTATTTGTTAACTTATGGATAATAACCTTAAGCTTTTATCCGTCATTATCAAAAATAGCATCACATTGAAAGATTTAAATGACTTTAATGTCATTCCACATCTGAGGTTCCACACGAGTGAATCACCTTACCTGTCAAAAACGATCTTATCATGATTAGTTGCGTCGTAGGTTTTCCATGTATTGCTCACATCACGGTCGACAATCAAACGAGGAAACTAAAAAAACCTGCTTGATCTTAATGAAAAAGGCTTTTTCCATGCTCTAAATTTAACCTATCTTCAATTGCGAACTTTACTGCTTGAGCTAAATCAAAGACGGAAATAGTTGTTGTATTGGGAGAAGCTTCGTTATAAGCTAAAAAAGCTTTCATCGAATCATAAAAGCTGATCACCGTTATCTATGGTGACGACATGGGCACGCGTTTCTATGGATTTCAAATGTGGAATTCAGGATCATCCGGCTACATATCAGTTAAGTGAAAAAACGTTTGGCATATCACAACTTTTGGTGAACTTGACTATTAAAGTGTTTAACTATTCAAATTAAGATATATGAGCACATAAAAAAGACTGCATCACTTAACACTTACACTAATTTTGTTATATCCACCTTAATATTAAAAAGATGAATACCTTATTTTTTAAGTTATACATGCATTAGACGAAATTACATAAATAAGGGATGAAAAATGAACTTGCTTTTAGTGGCAGTATATTAAGCAGAAAACAGAGTAACTGTCTCTTTTGCTCCAGATTGTCTTGCATCTCCTGTATGTACTTAGGCTTTTTCACGCATGAATGCCTTGATGCGCTTACTGGTATGCAAGTTGTATTCTGAGGTCGATTTGGCCAAAAACTTGGGAGAAAATGGTTGTGGAGTTGGATGGGAAGCGGCGCGAAGTCTTCGCCAATAAACAAGCCGTTTGTTCGAAAACCTCGACCAGTTATCCATTAGCACATCCATTTTACACAGTGCAACTAGGTAGAACGCTATAAGTATCCTGTACCAAAATGTACTAAATATGGAGCGCCTTTTACGAAAACGTCCTTTTCGTGGTGTTGTTCCAGGAAATAAAAGCTACTTAAGCTCTGCGGCAGGACAAGATCAAGTCGAAACCTTAGTATTTCACCCCTAAGTTACTCAATGCCACAACATCACAACCGCTGAATGGGATAGTGGCCTATTGAAAACGTCGACTTAAATTATAAAACCACCTAGAAGCCAACATTATCTTAAGCAATCACTAGATTTCGATGCCAACCTCGGACTGTGTACGTGCTACTGTCACTGGCGCTTCCCAACATTATCTTAAGCAATCACTAGATTTCGATGCCAACCTCGGACTGTGTACGTGCTACTGTCACTGGCGCTTCGTAATATGGTGCAACCACAATCACTCGAACATCGGCCAGGTTCGAAGACATGTAGGATAGCCTGAAATCATATACATGGCTACATAAAAGCCTCAAGTAAACAGGTTTTTCAAATGAGATGTAAGTTTTTTAAAGATAAGGCACTTCCATATATGCTACTTTCCTATACAAAACCCAGTCCGAAAACAAAAACTTCTGCCTGATTCAAAAAAATTGAGGAATGCTTGTGTGAATGCCCTAGCAGATCACGCAATGCTCCGAAGAAAAACAAGCTTCCCCACCCAGCACAATACTAATAAAACGGAGAATTTATTGGAAACTGTATGGTGCATGAAAAATATCTAAATGCCAAAGTAACAGTAATATGGATCAATAGTGGATTGTACTATTTATAGCGAGTTAAGCGCTACAGAAACTGCTATAGGAATATTTCAATTCTCAACCATAGTTCAAAGTTTCTCTAAAGACGCGTACGTGCCTTACAACGTTAAAATCGTTCGCGACGATTTGAAGAAGTACTCTTGGCGACTGGTACGACAACGGCCATATCAGTTTTAGCCTTGTAATACTTCCAGGTAATACACTAATAATATAATGGTTTTTCTATATTTTAAATGCATCATTGTGTTTAGCACGAATTGAATTATTCCTATTACTTAATTCATTCAGATTTTTCCCTCATCATTGCAGAAGTATGAACTTGCTTCTATTCATTAATTCCGGGTACTGTACAAATATGAGGTCCATAATTTGTTTTAAATGTGCTTGTATCAGATATGCTCTGCACACATAAATGCATAACTTTCTCAATTATCACAGCTCTTACGATGAAGAAGTTAGGTACTTGAGCCAAGCAGAGAGAATTTTACATCGAGGTAACTTTGCATTCACAGAACCAATCAGGGACAGAGATCAGTTCCGCCTCTACAGTGGAGGAAAAGAACAGCTAACATCCGATGTTCCTCTCTTAACTAAGCCTATGTAGCGCAGTGATTATAGGTTCCCTGTAACTCACACTAGATCGGTCGCTGGTTCGATTTTGCGCATAGACTCACCAAGTCCTCCACTCCGCCAGGTAGACATGTTAGCACTGAACTTGTCAACTGGATGGAAACACGCTCATGCTACATCGGTATGCGACTGCATGTCATTGCATAAAAGAGATGAGCATTTAGTTACCTCTACAATGCAACGATTTGGTGAAAGCTGTGCTTCATCCCTTCACATTTTATCAATTTCTCCGATAATAGTCGAGCTCAATGTGGCACACTTCCAGTTCAACTGCTCTGATAGGACAGAAGTTTGCGCGTTTAAAAATTTGTGAGGTGAATGATTGGGATGGATATAAATTATTTCCTTACAAGAGTCGGTTCTGCTTTCCGTAAAGCCAAATTGGATTTCAGGAATTCAGGGCTGAGATTACAGGAAAAAATTTATCGCCTTTATTCACTCTTTTTTTGATTAACAAACACGAGGCTCCGAAGATCGACTTTCTATTAACCTCGGTACTGGATTTTAACTCTGTTTTTCTCTTTTCTACAGCAATCGCAAGGTTGTTATTTAGTTTCCTACTCATACTTCCTCACAAATATAACACATGCAACACAACGGTAGCTGACGTTTCGGAGGTATCACCTTCTTCAGAGCCTGGAAAGGTGCACTAATATGTAATTTACTAGGTCAAACGCTTCAACAACGCAAACAGAAAGATGAAAATCTGAACAAAAATTGCGCGACCAACGGCTTCTCGAAAAGCCCACCGTTTTTTACCTGTCTTCCACCGGGGAAGAACAGCCGCTTAGAGTCGCATATTGTACTGCACCATTCCACATCAAAAATCAGTTTTGAGATACAAGGCTAGATCATGCGTTATCTCAGGGCATTCTTCCCTGCTATTCATTGTAGGATTCTTTGCGCTTATCCAAAAGGCCTCGAGAAATTTGCGCGTTTGTGTTTTAGTCTCCAATGCGATGATAGCGACTTTTACATCATAATCTTCTCCGATATGTTTTTGTATCCTATGCGTTCCTAGCGGCGTGCCTTGTTTTAATTTTCGTTTGCCATCTAGGTGTTCATTTATGCGGATACATAAAGGTAGGCTCGTTTCACCGATATATTCGTCTCCTCAAATATTGCAAAAAATCAGGTATATCGTAAATGAACTCATGCAGTCACCGTCTCTGCCATAACGACAAACTACGCAATTCTGCATTTCACATAGAAGGTCATACAGGCGGTTACGAACTAACTACCGACGTAGAGTATCCGGTGGTATTTCAACTATCGCTACCGGTTACTCTAGATTTTCCCTTTTTAAGCATCGCTTTATCGCTACACTTATTTCATCCCTAATGAAGGGCAAGATAAACGGGATTTTGTTTCGGCCAAACCGTTCGTTTTGGGGCGTCGCTCTCCTTCTAAACTTATCTCGTGGGGTTACTATTACGTATTGTGAGGAAGTTATCGTGCACTGGAAAACAACCTCGCGATTGCTGTAGAAAAGAGAGCAACAAACGCGAAGTTCTTGGTTTACTCATTATTGACAAAAAAGCTAGAGTTTAGCGGATTTCGCCCTATTAAGAGCCCACTGTTTTCCACCAGTCCACCATGGTATTTCTTCGACTCACACTTCTTCAGTTGAGCACATCTGTTGCCTTGCTGGTACCAAAAAGAGGAGCAGAGTAGTCGTATTTCGATATCCAGTACTTAGTGGCTATCCTCTGGTCCTTTGATAGTTGGCATATATCGTGTAGTCGTCTACATTTGATGAAGATCGGAATGACTCGGTGTTTTAGCCAGCGGCCGAGAATTTCACTGTTTCTCGAGTGTGACGATCTTTCGCCTTGCTGACAATCCTTCCTCTACGAGTTGTAAGTCTCTTCCTGGTTCAACTTGCAGAAGTTTCGAAGACCGACTTTCTAGTAACTTGGAATGAGAATTGTAGAAGAAAGTAACAACCTCGTCTTTGCCCATCAAGAAAACAGTGAATTATTTCATCAATGCTTACCCTAATGGAAAGTCGGTCTTGGGAATTCAAATTAGCAAACACAGACGAAGAAGGAGATTAAAGGTGCTCTCATGCAGACCTCAAGTCAGTTATTGTTATAAAAGCAACATTGGTGGAAACCAATTGAAACTCATCTATTAATGACTTTTAAGATGTCTTAAAATAATCCTTCAGAGAGCGTTTGTGAAAGTTAGCATTAAATACCCTCAATACCTAGGAAATAATGAAAATTTTTATGCATTCATAGCAAACTAACAACTGGATCTTGAAGTGAGTATTTAAATCAGGTATATCCTTTGGTTATCGAGGCGCTAAAATCCGCGCCATATATGTTTCTACTTTAAAAAAGAGGAAAATGGTTTCGATGCTTTTCTTTCCATACATAACTTCACCTGAAGGCATTACTCTAAGCGAAAACCTTTAAAATTTTGGAAAATTTAGAAACTACCCTAGAAAATAGAAATTCCAAAAAAAACTTGGTTAAAACTTAGAGAAAGGAGTTCAATATCGGGGTACGATATAGAACGCTTACCGCTTTAGTTGCCGGTGACATGAGGCACACTGTAGAGGCATAAATACGGCGACTAGTACGGTGCCTTTGGATGCGGCCACAACATCCATGCCACGGACCGTAAGTGATGCAGTGGTACATAGTGAATGAGGGGCAGTAGTAACAGTATTGATTAAATGAAGAAGGACAGTTATGAGCATTGTCCAAAAAAATATCCCGCTACGACATCAACGATCTAAAGTATTGGTTTTGTGATATAACCCAGTAAATTTCTGCATAAAGAGACATACATGAACAAAGAAGAGCTAAAACTGAATATTGTCACAGATGGAAGAAAATACTTCGATGCTGAGTCAGGAAAAAAAAACTGACAAGGAATAATGTTTTTCTAGAAGGTGGAAGAATGAAAGGAAGAAAACCGTATCTTGATTAAACGTTAATTGGCTTAAAATTTAGTACTACTCTGCTTCAGATAGGCGTTATTTTAATAACAACCAGAGTATTAGACAGCGGCGTTAAGCAAGCAGTAAGAAGGAGACTTTAAGATCGACGACTAATTTAGTCTCCATTAAGAATATCACTTAATAGAGAGCTAGAAAAACTTGCATTTTGAAAAACCAGTGTCATTCGGAGAGATATTTTGGATATCTTAGAACGACATGGAAAAGTACGAGTTCTCTCTGTTTTACCTTTGAAAGAGATCGCAAAAGAGTATTAAAATTGTTAGCCGACTGCCAGACTTTTCATTTTCTACGTGGAAATGAATAGTTCAATTAGCTATTTTTTTTTTATTTTAAGCGTTGTCTGCATGTACGATTACGTCAAGCCTCGTCGTTTTACAGAAATTCTCCCATAAGACTGCAGATGACGGATCGCTGACGTGCCAGAACTATTTTGTCCGCCAGACGCAAAAAACTAAATACCTTATTTCATAGGTAAACAAACACTAAGTTGTAATGCAGCTTTTATTCCGTCAACGTTTCAACATCTTCGTCTTCCTCAGAGCCGTTGATCCCAGCCGATGGTCCACAGTCGCTCCTACTCTCGATGTAGTGTCTTCTTGTCGTATCGGGACAAATCTTCTTCGGTGGAACAAAAAAAAAGCATTATAGTCTTCTTCTGATATATATTCAACCAACGCAAGTGTTTTGGTACTTCAATTTTGTCCAACCTACCACAGAATATCACGGGATATCATTTCGAGCCTATGTCAAGTAGAATGCCACAACGCAATAAAGAATCGTGTCGTATATGTTCTTTTAAAGAACCATAAGAGACGACTATCTCTGAGTTTTCAACTCGACTGCAGTGTTACGAAACTAGCGTTTTCTTACTTTTTGCCATTTTACTTTACTTATACCTCCACTGCATGCAGTGAACAGATGTGCTTCAATTCACAACATGTTTCACTTGCGATATCATGTGGTTTCATTCAACTGGTTCGCTGCTTCGTCGAGACTGGGCGGTGTAATAATTGCCATCTACGGCAGATAATCACTGCCAATCATCCCAATCTTTACCACCATCTTTGAAACCAACCTAACACCGTGCCTTCTGCAACAGTTAGCGAACTTCTAGCAAAATCCATATTTGACACAATTAGCGAAATCCGTGGAATACTTTTAAAATTTGATTTCATAGAGGAAGTATTCCCGAATTTCTTCTCTATGTGCTTTATTCAAGCAGTTTGAATTTCTACAAGTTATAATAAAACCAAAAAAGAACAACTCGACACAGCTAAATTCTGCTCTCCGACGATTTATTAAATGTGATGGATATCCACTTTTTAGTTCAATATTTGAAATGTGCCCTGCAACACACATACGGAGTCGATCCCCGCCCTCATGGCCCACCAAGCCCTCCGTCCCTCCGAGGTCGGCAAATTGGTACCAGTCTTGTTTGGGATGATAGCAGCGCTGGCTCGATGCAACGATAGGCTACCGCGAGTCATTGTAAAGGACAGATATGCATTCAATCAGCTCCAAACGATACTTAACGAGGTCGAATGCATGGCTCATCCCTCAGGGATTGATCAACGCCGAGAGCTTTTTCCTCTTTTTATCCTTCAAGAAACCAGTTCTATAACTTCACATGTGAATATATTAATTTCTGGGAGATACAGTTGGAGAAGAAATACTGGATGGACTCAGACGATTTCACTGCAATCTCAAGTGCACCATTTGGTACTGACCCTGCTCCAATAACCGCAGCTGGTGATGATGAAAAGAATCTGCTTAGAGAGATAAAATTTAATATCCGCTCATTGAAAACTACACTGTTAGCCTCTATAGGATTTTTTGCACTAACGAATTTTTGTGAAAATCTTACTTTTCTGTTTATTTTAATCCATAAACACATGAATAAATGCGCATATCTGAAATGTTTGTTGTACAAACCTCATCGGCAATCCTCTTATTTCATCTTATCTTCTGCTTTTCTCCTAAATCGATAATGCCTTTTAAGTAAAGAGAAAGCGAACTATAAGTTGTCGTTCAGTGATCTTTTTCGTTTATTTAAGTAAAAATTTGTGTTTCGTCTTCCGTTTATAAGAAACACTCTTCAACGAAATACTAAAGTATATATCTATCTAAAACGTAAACCTGGAAAAGGCCAGGATAAAATCCAAGATTTTTCATGCATCTGCTACACCTTTGACGCCTTAGAGAACATCTAAGTATGGTAAGAAATGTTCAAACAACAAGTATTTTCTATAGAAAAATAATCGGAGAGCTGATACGAATTAGTCAGCTCCCACTCCCATTTGATATAGAACATCAGTAAAGAACGCAATAATATACCTACTTGGATACTTAGATGACACGCCTTCACTAGTTATGCGGGCCTCAGCATAATTTCAATTTTTTCGGAGCTTTGCCGTCTTAGCCATTGTGGTTCCCTAAAGTCGCGAGGTCAACCTAGTCAAATTGTATACTTGGTTATCACCAACGTAGCTAAATTGTCCCATTGGTCGCCACCACCGCAGGTGGTCACTACCCTTGTGTATCAGACGGAGATTTGCCATCACGTGACTAGTTTGATACCAGCAAGGTAGTGAATCTTGGTATTTGTTCACTCTTAGCTGGGCTTCCTAGAGGAATTGCAATAATATACACATGGTTTTTGCTTCAACCAAAGCGCGAGTCGAACAAGCTCTGTATCGCTCCGTGTTTGGATAGTTGGTGCCCCACTTGTCTGTGAAGCACACTCCAATCCACAAAGGTTGGCGACTAATTGTGGCAAAGCCCAGGGAACGCCTTAGGAAGACTGTCGTATGATTCCGGTGAGATTTCACTCGACCAGAATTCCACGGTGTTTATGAAAATCAAAAAGTCCTCAAATGGAAAGCGAGCAAAAACGCAAATCTGAAAACATTCACAGGTGACGGATACGAGGAAATGAAATGAAGTGCTCTGTTTTGCGCAATATATAGCCAGGTTATATGGACAAGGAACAATAAGGATTTAAGATCAAAAAGAACAAATAAACACGATAAAAAATATTCACAATAGTTTTCAACTACTTCAAATCCATAGTCCCATTACGATGTATTTAATATTGCTTAGATTATTATGCTAATAGAAAGTTGTAATAAAGGCTTTAATTCGTTAACGTTTCGGCACTTTCGCCTTATTCAGTGTCGTGTTGAACGAAGTCCATTGTCCATAGTTGTTCATCATTGCGATACGAGTCTTCGTAGTCGCGACAGGTTATATCTTCTTGAGTGTAATCGTTGTAGTCGTGTAATCTTGTATGTGCCACCTAATTTAAATACAGAGTATCCTGAAATAGTCTGTTAACTGTCTATTGATTTGATATCGTTATAACTTACTACACTAAAGGCTTTTGGCATTGATCAATCCCTGAGGGGTGTGCCTTGCATTCGACTTCATCAAGGATCGTTAGAGGTCATTGAATATGTATCTGGCCTATACAGTAACTGATTGTAACCTGCCAATGTATCGAATCTGTGCTGCTACCTTCTTGGACAGGTCTGCTACCGATTTGCTGACCCCGGATGGATGGTTGCTTGATGAGTCTGAGGCGCAGGATCGTACCAATTTGAACACGAAGACATCACCAACCACTACGCTTCACGCATCTCTACCTAGGGTAAAACACCACCTATGCATTGCGATTTCCTATGAATCTGAGCCGAACGATTCTCCGTCATTGAAATCATGTTCTTCGGCAGCATATGATGACAAAAACGCGCTTATATTCAAACGAGTTGAAATCGACATTCATTGGACTACTACACTATAGAACTCTCAAATTCTTGGAACTACAAAAACGCATATCGCCAGAACGAACGGCTGCGGATAATTGACTTGGGCCGACGCGGCTCTGAAGAAAACGAGGGCGCCCAAACGGTAGCCGAATAAAACATTTATGACAACCTCTTATTAGCTTAATAGTCGAAGAAAATGTTGATTATTTATTTCAAGAGTAAATGGTGGTCGCCTTCGAAAATCTCTTGAGTCCTAGAAAATTCAGATAATGACGGTGAGGTAATTCAAATACTTTATTTTTAGCGCATGAGCCAATAATGAATCCAAATGAATGAGAAGAAAGGAAACGTTTGATTTGAATTGCGATTTTGTTTTGTTGGTGAAAAACATACTAATGAACAATAACAATTCGTTATAAAATTGATGATAGGGCATCGGCCACAATGTTGGATGTTGCTTGACGTTGGGAAAGCGCAGTGTAACTGGCGGCGTCTTAGGCGACAGCTGAGCTATTGAGTGAGGTAAAAAGACGGCGCACGTTGTAAGAGTTACTTAGAGCCTATATTAAATTTTACACACAAAGCCATCAAGTAGTACCACATAAGTTTAAGCGTTTATTCACTGCCTATGCTTTTTTCGTGGGTGGGTATTATGTGAAATACTATAAGGATACACGGATTTCAGCAAAACTCTGGACAACGGTTGAGCTTCGAACGTGCGATTACCATTTCCGATAGCTCATTTGTTATCCGCTACTTCAACCGAGGCTCTTGCTTTGCGCTTCTGTCAACCAGTTTTCTAGCCTTACGGTGCAGTCAGCAATTACCCGTTAGTAGAAATGTTTTGAGCAACACAAATCGGCATGCATTGAACCCAGTTAA